AGGGAAAGACTGCTCAGAGCCTGCAGCCTTTCCTCTCATTTGGCATTACCTGTTTTGAAGAGAGCCTAACGTTTCAGTCTTCTCCAGTCTTAGCCTGCTCACTTGAAACTGTTTAATTATGATTTGTCTTAAAACTATTTACCTTAAGTATCTGATGATCTGCATACCCAGTTTATAACCAGAGAAAGTTCTTAGGTAACTTGTGAGCTCTGCTCTCAGAAACACAGCTTCCACTATAGAGAATCACAATGTGAGCAGAAACTAATATAAATTTGTAACACTGCAACATAAGAATAACAATAAAATAAATAAACTTGAGAGAAGCCTGATGGAAAGGGTGCAGGTTTCCTGCTTCTGATGACCAAGAATACAGTAGGATTAAGGAGTGGAGAAATTAACTAAATTTACTAAAACAATACTCCATTACATGCCAAGCACTCCTTAAGTAACAAAGAGGTTTAAAGTCCGCTTCAACTTCTTCTGGTATCGATGATAACCAGAGCATTGGCAAAGCCACTTCTGGAATACATTTCTGGCTGGACCATGTCTTTAACAGATACAGATTGCTAAAGTGAACTTATTAAATGGTTACCGAAAAGCTGCAAAGTATATAGAAACTACTTTTCTTCATTCTGGATCAGGCATGTGAAAAATCATTGTAACCATAAAATCAGTTCCTTTTATTTGCTTTCATTATTTAAGTACATTTTATTTCTTCCAAACTAAACAGTTTTAGTGTTACAAACCTGGCTGCTCTGGGATGTCCTCCTCTCAGAGTGGAATGGACCAGCTTTTATTCTTCCAACCTCTAGTCGTACTGTACCTAGAGAACACTAAAGAACCAGTCATTTATAAAGCATCTCTTCTGTCTACAACATTAAAACCTATGACAATATTTAAGTCACTTAACAGATGGTGAAAAAAGAAAAAAGAATTGGACAGAGGGGAAAATAACGGGTTAACACACTGGAAAATCCTTCCACTACTCATTAAACTTTTAATTATACTCCTCAGTATTTATGCATCTGCAGAAGAAAATTCACCCTATAATCAAATATTTAGAAACCAAGACATTAGTTTGATTTGGGGAACTGGTAAGTTATTGCCACAAACAACATTTAGAAGACTGGACTTCCTAAATAATTGAAGTAATGTCAAAAGAAATCCACCTATCTCCTATGTAGTCAAATATAAAAATTTCAAAGTTTTGTCACTATTTTGTTTTTTCTTCTTAATATTACATAAGTGTGCTTAATTTATCATGCTTTAACTGTGTTATCCTAAGACAGGTTCATATATTTGTCAGAAAATTCGCAGTGAGAAATAGACCAGGATATCAAAAGCAATTAACAGGACACACTCATTCAAATAGGGTTTTCATACCTCATACCCTTTTGCTATCTTCTCAGGGGTTACACTAAGATATTTTTTACTAAATTGCTTTTTATTTTTTAAATAATGTTGACTTCTCTATGTCCTGGGAAAGACTTGATCAGGACTCAGGCAAAATCATTCTTTCCTACTTGTATGAAATGACTCACATTAAACCATACAAACAACTGTTATCCAAAATAAAAAACTGAGGAAGTAATCTATGTACCTAGAATTACCATATCCTCACATAAAATACAAACTCACAAAAGAGATTTAAAAGTTATAATATGTGAAAGTGGGAGGTAATACTTTCCAACTAAACTTGTGAATTCACATTTAGCTTTATTACAGCTTTCTCTCTCTTCCTGAAATCTGCCATTTGATAAATCCATAAGTCAACTGAGGAAAAAAATCACCAGCTTTTTACATGTTTTAGGGAAACTTATAAAGAAACACTGCAAAAACAGGTGGAATTCTCAGCCTGGCGATACATTCTAGGGGTCTCATGCAACTTAAAAGACACCGGGATTTTCCAAAGGTTACAAATTATTTTCTAGCAAAATACATCACAGGCAATTCAAGACAATTTGCACCTAGGTCTTACTCTCATGAATGAAAATAGAATATGTTGAACTAAGAATGGTGACTGCCTACATGTGAGTGATTGTGCTTTACTCCATTTTTTAACTCCATTTCTACAAAACAGAATCATTAACAATAATATATCTGAGTTATTTCAAAAGCTTCATTTTTCAGGGCTAGGGCAATTAATCACAAGTACAACTGGCAAAGCATTGAAAACATGACTTATCATTTGTAAATGATAAGTGGGAGCGTGTAAATGATAAGTGGGAGATTTGTAAATGATAAGTGGGAGCTAAGAATCTTAATTACTCCAAAATGCTTGCCAAAATGAAACTTTCCATATAAAATGGCAAAAATGGCATGTTAATTTAGAGGAGATGTAAAAGTGCAACATATGACGAAAAAATACACTGTGCTTAGCTAAAATAAAGCATCAGGGAAGAATGGAAAAGTACTGTTACCTCTGAAGAGTCTAACAGTGAGTTAACTGCAAGAACACAGACCCAGTTTTGGCATTCTCACTTACAGGTAAATGCTGCTTTCTAACAACTTCCCCTCCTCAAAAAAAACCCAAAGCCAACCCAAAAATACCCTCGAGGAACTATTCAAGACTTGGAAGAAAAATATACCTTTGAATGTAAATGTAAAGAAGCATGATCAAGTGTTTATGTACACAAGAGTCAGCTATGAGTAGCTGTTAAATTTTTTCCAGTGGAACGATCTTCCTTTGGAAAATGCTGACTTGATGGAATCCTTACCATGCAGCAGGAACACTTCAAAACTCTAGATAAAAAACAGGCAAGCTGGCTGACCAGCTGGACTTCCTGCCAGACGATTGGAAATGTTGTGGAACTGACTTAATTCTGATTTGGAAACAGGAGGAGGACATCAGAAGCACCAAATTTATTGAGAACAGAAATTCTGGTTCCAAGAGCGGCAGATAGGAGTTTACTTCAGGTATCTTTGTGAGAAAGCAATTTCTTATACTAGATGCCTTGGTCAGTGGAAAATGCATTATAGTATTTAAAGGATGTAAGGTGATATCAGACATACACAGGAAAAGGAAAAAGAAAAAAAAAAGGGATGAACATTATCAACTTATGAAGAAAGGCTGAGAAAATTGGACCAGATCAGCCTTGGGAAGAGAAGGCTTAGGGGAGACTTTATCACCATGTACCAGTACATAAAAGGTGGCTACCAGGAAAATGGAGACTCCCTTTTCACAAGGAGTCATGTGGAAAAGACAAGGGGTAACGGACACAAGTTGCTTCTGGAGAGATTCCAATTGAACTCCCGAAGAAATTTTTTTACTATGAGATCAATCAGACATTGGAACAATCTCCCAGGGGAAGTGGTAAATTCCCCTACACCGGTCAGTTTCAAGAGTCAGCATGACAGGGTGCTGACTCAACTCATTTAAACTCTACTTTTACCTTGAGAGGTTGGACTAGATGATCCTTGTGGTCCTTTCCAACCTGGTATTCTATGATTCTATGAACTGTGAAAGTAACTACTTTTTGGCACAACTACTCTGATGACTTAAAGTCAATTCTGCACATCTTTCTAAAAATGTGAGATAGTTAACCACTTAACAATTTCTTGGAGAAAACAGTCTTAAGTTTTAGGTTGTTCTAGGTAATGGTCTTTTTCTGGCCTACAAACATATGGCACTCTGCACCACCATTAGTGCCATTTTCATCAGGCAAAGTATCAAAACCTGAATGCTCCAGACTTCAGGAAGCTTAAATTCAAATCTACAGCTTATTCTTACTGACATCTCAATAAAAGTCTGAACTCAGTCTGAATAAAACTAACACTTCTAAAAAATATGTATCTCCATTCTTCACTTTTATCCACCTTCTCTTTTCCCAATACCTTCAGCAAAGCTGCAACAGCCTCCTGGTTAGCATTTCGAACATCTTCTCCATTCACTGCCAATATCTGGTCTCCTTGCATCAATCTCCCATCTGTATCTGCTATTCCTCCTTTGACGATGTCTGACACAAACACCCCCGTATCATTTCTGCAAATATAAACATGGATTTTGCATTACAGCATTGTTTGAGGGCCATTTTTATGGCTTGCTGTTGGGAACACAATGAACATTGTCTCATTTTTCTGTTATGTAACGTTGTGCTAGTTCCTCTAGAAATGGCCAGTTAGCTTAGGCACACGAATGCCATGTACTGCCTTCAAGCCTAGATGATCTGCGCACCAGATCCCAACAGAAACATGAGCATGCCCAGCAAGTCCCAGACATTGACTCTCCAGGTACATTCACACCTTTTCCCAACAATACTCAGCCCAAGGCCTTTGCTAGGCTTCTTTTGGAGCTCTATATTGAGTACATCATACATGTCTTCTTCCTTGTACTGGGCCTCATCTCGGTACACAGTCAGACGAACTTTTTGGGGAGTCTGTCGGAGGACATTTATTGCTTCATCATGTGTTGCATTCCTGAGGTCAATCCCATTCACCTGCAATGAAAGCATACAATGATAAAGGGTGCAAGATTTTCCAGCAGACAAACAGAAGATGCCTAGCTAGGAAATGACAACAGAAGTTACCCAAAAAAACACCACACCTCCAATATCTGATCCCCAGCCCACAGTCTCCCATCTTTAGATGCTGCTCCTTCTTCATATACTTCATGGATAATGATTGCTCCCTGTGGATAAATAAAACAAAAATAAATTGCATGTTGAAAGAACATACCCTACATTGGACAAAAAGCAACTAAAAATTCCTACTAGAATTCACCAGTGACACACAAAACAGTCAGAAGTATTACGAACAAATTACCAGAATATTTAAGAAGTTCATTTATACCTACAAAGTGCTTGCTTTCTTTTTTTTCCCCCCTGAACTGGTAGTTTTTTATTATCTTTCTATAAATGCTACAGGAACAAATGAATAAAAAATATCTTCTATCAGATATTTTAATTCCATTATTGTTATTTCACTTGAGCAGAAAACATATTTTTACAACCAACCAGCAAAGTGTCTGCTCCTCCAACAATGCTCAGACCAAGACCAGTCCGCCCTTTGGAGATATCAATGGTTGTTTCACATCCAGGAATAATAGGACAAGTAGCCGGGTCAGAGGCTAACGTGGCTGGAGTTGAAGATCTGCTTGTATCTGAAACAACAATTAAACACCCTGATTACAGTAAGAGGGCTCAACATTAGAAAAGTGACTTTAAAACAGCATTTTTAAAATTCCTTGACAGCTCTACAGCAACAGCTAACCTACAGAGAATGATGCTGCCAACTCTCCCTTTCCCTCAGATAAGTACTATCCTGCAGCTTTAATCACAATTTTCCTGTTTTATACCACCAAGTACGTGGATCACAGTTTTGACTTTACTGATAAAATAACTCACACAATAAGTTGCATTTGTACTATCAAATTCACTCTTACAGTCTGGATAGCCAAAGAAGCTATTGTACAGAACAGATTCTATTTAGCATAGAATTTAATTCAAATATCTATACCAGCATCTATGTAATGTAGATTAGAGATAAGTGAAGCACATAGTATGAATTAAATACATGGATTCATGGATCTTTGCTTCAGTATTTTAGTCAGTTCTGTATCCTTCAAAGAAAAAGCTAAAAATACTAGAAGGGGATATTGTGTAGCAACTAACATCTGGGATGTTTAGATTATCTCTATTGCTGATGTCTTCTGTACTTTAAAGAAGCATCAAAGTTGCATTTTTTCCAAAAAGTAAAAACAATCATCTAAATAATTTTGAGGTTCTTTAAAAGGGCACTAATTCAGTTTCACTGAAATTAACAGAGGCTTGACCATTCAGAAACATTCATTTATGCTAGACAAATACTTAGGTAGAGTGTGAGAAGTCCTGCAGGAGCAGTAAGCCTCAAAACTAAGAGGTTCTGAAGGGAACCAGAAGAGTAATTAGGACTTTTTAAGGATAAAGCTTCTGTGCGAGTACAGAACAGGTTACTGCTGTTATACAAGTTCTTCACATATATAATGATGAGCAACTGCTCATGCTTAGTTTGAGCTAAGCAGAAAAGTCAAGGCTTAAGTATAATAATCCTGTCCAGAAGGCATAAAATGTACATGAAATAAATGAACTGAAGAACTGGGAGTCTTGGTACGCAAGGCCAACTTCATCTACATAGCTACATCAGTACTGGGCCAAAAATTGTCTACATAGCACTGCTGAAAACACCAAAGTTGGGTAGAGATGTAGTAGAAATCAGACCAATAGGCAAAAAAGTAGTTAGGGATGGGTTCCTTATTTAGAAGGAGTCTGTGCAGAACAAACAAGGTGCAAAGGCAGCAAAAAGTTTTGTTTGGTAAAAGAAAGCTGAAGAATAAACTATAAAATCAGGTGGAAAGCCAAGAGGAGAGAGATCTTCCAGCTGGGTTGTGGGTGTCCGTAAATGGCAAGACAGGTTGCAATCACAAATCCCCCCAAATCTGACATATGCTGAAGAAAGCACTGCTGAAATCCCATCAGGTCTTTGACTCTAAGACTTGGCGTGGCAGGATGAAGACGGAAGGGATAGACTTGGACAAAACAATAGATTTTACCCTAAAATGAAATGCAGAAGGGAAGACAACAGGTTTTATTACCTACTAGGTCTCCCATGAGTTTCTTAGGATTTCTTTATTGTAGTATAATTGTGTATCAAGACTACTGCTGGTAATAAGCAATTGAAATGTGACTCAGTAATACTTGCAGTGATGTACATATAAATTAACTGTGATGTGGGCATTACTTGGTTAAGCTATTATCAGCATCTTAGTAGTGTGTTGCTTAACCAGTAACCATCATCAATCAGTCACATATTGATTCTCCACTCTATAGGAGGTGAGTCAAACATGGCTAGTCATAAATGGCAAAGCAGTCTCAGTCATTCACCTGTTCTAGGAAAGATTACATGACTTTTCCTCTCTGTTTTAAAGGAATGCCTCCATCCTCTCGCCTCTACAACAGGGTTGTGGGAAGGCAAGAGGTAAGTCTTCTGTGGGGACCCTCACTGTTTTATTTAGATGGATCACTAATCAGAAAGTACTAGAAGGTGCAACTCAGAAGACAGCTGAGTGCATGCAGAAAGAGAAAATTTATTTACAAGCTGGGTCTTAATTTTTATGTCACAACCCCAGTGAAGGCAGACACACAATGAGAACCTTACTTTTGACTGGTTCTGGTTCTGGTTCTGGTGAGCAGGGAGAGGGAACAGCTGCTGGTGGCTGCATATTCTTCCTCTCCGCTGGAACCATGTTGGAAGGAACTGGTGCTGCAGTCACGCTATCTGTCTCTGCTGAGTTGATTGTAAGCTTCACCACAGATTTGGAAGTCTTCAGGAGACTAATAAACTGAATGACAAAGAGAAAAGCTGGACTGTTCATTTGTAAAACAAAAATAAAGCAGAACTGTTCTGTACACTGGAGCTACAGGTCATAATCCTGCAGGTTTTCTTGGTAATGAACGACAAATATTGGGGTTTTTTGTAAGAAACAATAGAATTAACTGTGGGCCAGACCTGGCTAATATTAATTGAGTAGGTTCCATGAAACTTCTCCAAATGAGAATGTGGTAGTTCTTCACTTGCTTCTCTGGACAAAATAGTATGTTTACAGCAATTACAAAAAAAAATAAAATTGGAAAACTAGTAATGTCTTTTAATTGGGCGGAGTCCAATTCTGATCCCACGGAAGTCAATGCCAAAACACCTACTGATTTACATAAATGTGCCATCCTGCTAGCTCCTTAATCAGATGCACAGCTGGAAGTAAAACCTGAAAACATTATCTGAACTATGGGAGGTAGAAGACACTAGGGTGTAATGCAAAATCTAGTTTAAGGGGATACTGAAAGATTTTCAAAATTCATTGCCATCTCACAGAAAAGACACCAAATCTTCCTGAGACTTTACATTTCAGTACAATTACAAGTATTTTTAGGAATTACTTACTCAATCTGTCTGACTCTTCTTCCAAAGCCTACTTACTTCCCTGAATACAACTTCACTACCTCTTAACTCATTTACTGCTTCAGATATAGCAGTGCATCAAAGAGTAAGACGGATGGTCTCCTAAATGCCCTTCAACAAACAGAGTGATAGTCTCATGCCTAAAGAAACACTTATCTTGGTAGCAATTCAGGTGCTAGAAAAAGCCCTCTTTGATTCATCACAGAAGCCAAACTGAGTGCAAAGCTACAAGTTAGAAATAAATATTGTTATTTAGGAACAGAAATAGTTTTCTCTAAAGGGTTGAAAGACCAGGCTTGGAATATAATGATGCCATTATTACAGACATTTCCTATGTGTAAGCATAGTTCATGACCTGATTTACTACTGATGCAACTCACCCATGTACATTTACACATATTAATTTTACTGGTTCTAATACTTTTAAAGTAGAGTAGCTTTGAAGAGTTATTATTGAGCGATAGTTCATGGCTTTTATCCCACAGCTAAGTGCCTCTCAGTCTTCACATCTGAACCACAAGGAAAAGAATATCACATTTGTAGCATACAAGAGACAGACAATTCATGTAGCACATTAAGATAACATAGCAAATGAACTTTAAATTCAGGCTTCAGTTTACCCTTCAGTAGTTCACTTATCCAGAAAATGCCTGGAGATCTTTGGTTCTTTGAAAATGAAGTCAGAGTACAGTCATGAAAACCTCACTGATTTGTTTAAGACACAACCACCTCCTACATTACGTGGTGTGATTTCTGCAACATTCCTGACACTTCAGAAGCACCTTTTCTACTGGATATCCCATGACAATTTCATTATCCACTGCTAAGATCTGATCTCCAACTTTGATTCGTCCGTCCTGGAAACAACATAGAATAAAAGCTATGAGTTCTGGATGCCACTCCAAAAAAACAGTTTTAATTCCCTATTTGGATTTTAAATGTTTTCACACCTTTGCTGCTACACCATGATCTGTTAAACTCTTAATAACTACTCCATTAATTGTGTCTTCTTCACTAATGGCAATTCCCAAACCTCCTTGATCCTAGGGCAAACAGAAAAATGCAAATGGTTAGGTACTGTGTTTATCAAAATGTTGGAATGCATTTACTAAAGTCTAGTGAAGCCTTAAGACATTGCAAAATTTTGAGTTTTCACAATACATCAATATTTTTGTTTTGCCAACCTACAAACAGTATATTGGCTACCAAGATAAATCTGAAACACTTGTAAGTTCAAGTCCACGTCTCTGAAACTTACAAGGTCAACTGCGATTCTGTTGTTAAACTCTTGAATAAGAGTAAGAAACACAAAATATTCAGAAACTACAAATTGAAGTAAATAAAACTTCATGATATAGCTTAAATTCATTATTTGAAACCACAGGAAAAAATACGCACATGAATGAAAAATACAGAGGATGGAAAAATGTATGCTCTTCCTGTGAAATTAGTAAATGTTTGTAGCAGAGTGAAATTTCGCAAGTGCTTTCACCTACAATTAAATCATCCAGATACCATAATCTGTAAGATATTCTCCTGGCTAATAATGGCAGGCTAGACGCTTTCCAAGTAGAAAAACGTAACAAGAGTCTGAAAGTCTCTCTCCTTATGTCTACTGAACACAACTGTATTCTCCATGGCCATAAGCAGGAGCAGCAAATTTTCTACCCACATTTGGCAACTTCATACTTATAGAACACCTGGCCATTTTCTCCCAGCTTCAGCATTTCTGCTAAATGTATATATTTTTTTGGTGAGATTTGATGCTGATTCATTTACTTTGAACAACTGGAGGCAATAGTTTAACCTGAGGCACCACCAGCAGCTGGTTACCAGAAGTTTTGCAAATAGAACAAGAGATAACTTCTTCCAGAGACACAGCAATTGGTAAATTTATGTGAAAATAAAGAGACTCAGGAGGTTGGCAAAGACAGTCATTATGTCAGGAAAACTTTGGGGTCCATTCACAAACAGTAAGAGAAGACCTCTAGAAATCTCTATTCTGACTTCTAGTAAGTAAGAGACAAAGTTTGTTTGCCATAAGAGGGACTCCATTACAAAAAAAACAAGCTGGTGAATACAAATGTAGCTGATGTATGTTTAATTTTCAGTGCATACCTTAGGAAGTTCCACATATTGAATGTTTTTACATGAACTCAAGTCAGAACAAGCACCAGAGTTTGCAGTACTGATATCTATCTAGAGAAAATGAAAACAAAACTGTGAGCAACTACTTCCAACATATTGCATCAAAATAAAGTACAGCACAAACATTTGAAGTGTGATCATTGTCTGGATTCATTTTACCTGCTACAACTCTATTCATGGGAACGTTGGTTTTACCTCACCATTTAGATAATCATAAAAGTAAAACAGTATTGAGCACAGCTGTACCAAATTTAGCAGCTTTACTAAAATCTCGTTTGTTTTTCTCCCGGATTTCTTTTTTTTTTGATAGTATTTGCTAAGTAGAGATGGCATTCCTCTATCAGGAACAATGCTAGTAACTCAATCAAATGAGAAAAACGTTACCTTTTGATGTTGAAGTGTCCCTGAAGTACACTGTGATGCTTCTACTGACTTTGCAGGGCAAACAGCCATCTGATTTACTGCATCTTTATTTCTACAATAGATTCAGTTAAAGAATGTAGTAAAAATGTAGTAATATAGCATTTATTTGTTAGAACAAGTTTAAGTCTAGCCCTTTCTTTTACTTCATTTTGGGCACTCACAATGCAAACATCAAACAGAAAACCCAAGACAGAAAACTCAAGACATACTCAACAACTACTAAGGACCAGGTTCAAAAGCACATCTACCTTATCAAAACTAAAACAGAAACATTCTGTGCAAAACTTGGTTGATGAGGACTGGGTTAGGGAGCA